AGCGCCTCCGGTCCATCTCCTCGCCCAGGGCTCCCTGGCCGCCCTTGAATGGGCCTCTTTAGATCCCAGGTGCTACAATTTTCTTCTTGCCTGTCAATTCCCGCTCCCACGGGGACTGAGCGGGGCCGATTTCGGGATGGGGGTGGGCAGAACCCCCGTCCCCCCAACTCTGCTCTCGGGCAGGAGGGGTGACCGCCCTCCCTGGTGTCTGTCTTGGCTCCTCCCTGTTCCCCTTCTCTAGTAGCACACGGTGGTCGCTGTGTTGTCCACTCGCCCCCTCTCCTCCGCCCCGTCCATCTGTCACTCAGCCAGCACTTGTGAGTCCCTCTGGGTGCCAAGCCGGGCACCTGCTATGTTCCTGGAACCTTCAGTAAACTTTTAATTCTCACCTACAGTCCTATGAAGTAGGGAATGTAAGCTCCATTTTACAGATGGAGGACTGAGGATAAGTAGGTGGACGTCCCCAAGGTCATGGAAGAGCAGAGATTCGAACTTGGGTTCATCAGGGGTCCCGCAGGCCTCCCTAGAACCTTGCCGAGTCATGGATTCCTCCCTGCTGGTCCTCTACCGGTCGGCCTGGGGAGGCCTGGTGAAGGCAGAGCCTGGAGGCCACCCACCTAGGTCAGGGAAAAGTTAGGGGAGGGAGCCGGGCACCTACCCTTCACCAGCTTCAGGAAGTCTTGGAACATGTCCTTGAAGGCTGCCTGGATCACAGGACACAGCTGTAAGAGCAAAACGGGCTCCTTCAGCCGGGAGGCAGAACCCAGCCCCATAGCCACCTGGTTCTCCACTCCCTGGCCTTCCCTGCTGCCCAGAATCCACTGCAGGGCCCTGAGCCACCTGGGACCCTTGGCAGTGTTGTGACCTTTGCCCTGTGTCTTGGTGTGCCTGGCAGTCCAGCTCCCCTCCCAGAGCGCCTTGTCTCATTCACAGATTTTCCTTAAAGGAAGTAAACAATTTGGTTACTCACAGAATAGTCCTCGAAAGTCCCTTCTGGAACAGCTCAGCCCCCATGACAGTGTGAACCAGCGAGAGAGTTGGTGGGACCAAGTTGAGGCCCCTGCCTCTCCTATTCTGCTTAAGGGGGCTGAATATTTGACTTGCCAGCTTGTGGGACCCAAAGGCCTGTTTCCTGCCCCGAGGCATCCTGTTTTCTGGATGGTGCTCCAAGATTGTTGAGGTCATTTTATTTTAGGTACCATTGTCCTAGTTAATCATTTCTTAATACTTTCCAGGAATGAGTGCATTTTGACTGAGGGCTTTCTTACTT